GGGGGGGTGGAGAGATGATGGGGGCGGATGAAGGAAAGGATAGACGGAAACACAAGGAGGCGAAGACTGCTGCGTTCTCTGCTCTTCAGCTTTTGTTCTCCCAGATAATAACTCTCCACCCCCTGACTCCAAAAACCAAGGGAACCCCTCCAGTCTGGAAACATGAGTAGTGTTCAAGGATGCCGTGACAACTAGTTATTCCAACCTACATCAAGGTGTGTTATAAAACCGACTTCAGCGGCTTGAATTTTGAAATGTCTTGAAGATTTACACAAGCTTGTAAGATGATTCACTGTGAATTATCTGCAGTTGGAACTGCAACCGAGCCAGATTTATCACAGTCAATTATAAATGCCCTATGTTGCCCTAAAAAACCCAACATGCTTTTAATTCAGGCCAAAACTGAGTGGGGGGGGAAAGAGAACACAGAGGTACATTATTGCCAACAGCCTGGAGGCCAATCTGCCAGTAGCTGTGAAGAAAACTGAAAATTACAGATTTTTTTTTAACAGATTACGACTTATGACCACATTTAGACAGGTGTGCTCAGGTGAAAGTGGTAATACAGATCTTTGCACAAGAAGAAGATGGAAGGCAAAGCACATGTTGACAGGATGGGGAAATCTGACAGGAAATCAAAAGGCACTGAATGTTACAGTGAAAACAGATTTCTGTTTGCTATGACCCGGTTGAGTACAGCAGCATCTGCAACCCACATAAGATCTAAAAATACTCCCGCACCATTGACTGCTACTATGCTGTGGCCTAGGTAGGTAGATGAATAACAGCGTGTGTATGGTGCGCGTGTATTGTGTGTGCATGTGTTAAAGGAATAAAGGTTTGGCTGTACATACTGAGGTTTGCTGCAGCCTTGTTTAGAAGTCTCAAGCAGAAATACAGTATTTAATGCATAGCATATTGCAAATATGTTGTGCGTTGTTATGCATGTGGCAGAAGCACCTGTGGGCTACACTAGGCACCAATTACTGTAAATCAAATGCACTCATGCATTGCTGTAAATACACTACTGTTAGCTATATGTGGCCCTGTTAGGATTTCATGTGCTCATGGATGTGGATGAGGCCAAGTTGCTCAAACGACAGCCACGGAAATTCTTCTGCTGTGCAGATGTGTAACAGATGTATCTCATATCTCATATTGAGCCAACACTGCAAAAGAAAGCTAAAAAAAACTAAAATATTTGTCTGTAGTATGCTTCAGCTGTTAGTTATGTGACCGACTTATTCAGGGAGTTTAATTAAACTTAGTGTCTCTTTATCCTTTCTTCCACCCAACACCCCAACCCTTACCATTGTTGCCTTATGCTTGCTCAGTGGGGGTCGTCTGGCTGTTGGGGTTTTCTCTGCATGTTTGTTGGTGTACTTTCTTTACAATATAAAGCTGTTGTTGTGATTTGGCGCTACATAAATAAAATTGAATCTGTTTGAATTAAACAAAACAAGGAGGAAGAGTTGCATTAGACTGTTACGAGAGGTTGTACCTTTTGCCAGACTGCTTCCCTTCTCTCTCTCCTCTCCTGCACCTGCCTCTCTTCCGTGAACCGCTGTCGGCTGCACCGTTTGCTGCACAGGTGCGAATGGAGCAGCAGCTCCAGGAGCTCCGCCAATTAGGAGCACCGAACGGGGCCACGTGAACAAATCCCGTCGTCTAAATTCCCGTTCAGCGGCGGGCAGCTCTGAGTGAGCGGCAGCCCTGAAAGCCACACTGAGTGGGGAAGTAATAACGGCAGGCTGAACGGGAGCAGTGTGCAGGTAAATTGCTTTTTGTCCTGGCTTTACACTCCCCCTTCACTCCCTTCATCTCCCCTCACCAGCTCCGCATGAAGCAATTCAGATGCGCAGCTTTGGGACGGGATGTCTTGGATTCATTTGTTGTCGCTTGCGGGTTGACTCTCTGCTCTCCTCCGATCAGATCCGCGGACAGGACAAACAGCATCCTCGGTTGCCCTGCACCGTCTACGCATTGAAACTCAGCCCCCCCTCCCTCCTCCTCCAGCTCCTCTTTTTCCCCTCTCCCCCTTGTCTCTTCCAGGCACATGAGGCTATTGATAGTTGACAGCAGCCTCGTAATCCCCGGCTGATCTGGCTGATCTTCCACAGCCATTTGCGAAACAAGAATGTTGATTGAACTTTATTTTGCTTCTAGATTTATTTTAGCTTAATTGGTAACGCCCGCATAGACTGACGCTGTGGCACCGGGGAGCGTGAGAGGCTTTTTGGTGCTGCATGCAGCCAGGCAGAGGCATAAGCTTTTATTGCTGAATTATTTATAAGACTGTCTGGGGGGAGAGAGAGAGTAACTAATGCCTCTCGTGGATGGAGAGGGAGCCCTGGAGAAGATAGGCTATAGCTCCTCATATGGTTTTTAAATCAGTTTCTTTGCTCAGTTTTTTTTTGGACTCTGTTGTTTTGGCAGTAAAGTCGTATTTAGTGCTTTCAACTACAAAAAGAAATCACTAAACAAGCACTCGTACTTTTTCTTTCATGCTGACTTGTTTACTCAGCATCTTACATCTGATTTTCTGTTTTATTTAAAATTGATTGTGTTAATGGACACAATCGACTTTTTTTTTTACAAGCCTCAGATTAGATATCACATATATTAGATTTAGTAAATATAAATGAATCTGCGGTGAATTCTTGCCTAACCTCTCAAAGTAATGTCATTAGCTGCACAGGCTATACATTAATGAAAAAGCTCAGTTAGAAGCTCGTATCTTGTCTTTTTCTCTTTGTGTGTGTAAATGTATATATAGGCTATGTGTGTCTGCATATGGGTTGAGGAATAGCTTTATCGCCATATATCAGCGGCTGTTTACGCTGTCACGTATTTTTTCCCCCTCTAAAATCCCTTCCTGGTACGGAGAGCTAGTAGTAGGCTATAGATTACATACATGCGGCACTTTTGCACTTGCCTTCTTCACAGCCCGACTCCAGCGGAATGAGTCGACCCCCCCTCGTCCGCGCCTGCGCACTCCCGCCATTCATCTCCGGAGATTTCTCCCTCTCTCCGCTCTCGTGTCTTGCGAGGCGGGATAGACCAGCAGGCGGCTACGGGCTCGCGCTCGCTCGCTGCCCAGGTTGTCAAGGCGCTCGTGATTTTTTTTTATTCTCTTCGTCGCGAGTGGACGGTGACAGCTCGTCTCGCTCACGTGTTGGACTGAGCTTTGTTTATCGGGTTTGTTTTGTCTTTGCTCGGATATATATTTTTGTGGGGTTTTTTTGAGTCATTGACGGACTCCCAGCAGCCCATTTGCCAACCTCGTAAGTATTTTCTTGATGTTTTCTGACGCCTTTCTACGGCGCGCCGTCCAGGCAGAGTTGAGAATCTAGTAGCAAGAGTTTGAACAATTTATCTCTCCCTGTCGGTTGGTTGTGGTTAAGTTAACTGGCATTAAATAATTTATTTATTTTTATTTTGCTTTCGCTTTTCCTTGTCAAAAAAGCAAAAAGAGGAACTACGTACACTATAAACTTTATTAATGTTACTGTTACTGAGCGTGTTACGTTTTCAGTCAGACATGTTTGAGTCTCAAAAATTAACCGTTCTTTGAAGAATAAGACAATGAAGCCAGATGGTGTCGGTCGACTGTAGTTCATCTTTTATAGCAGGTGTCTGATAGCCCACTTCCGCACTTGACTGTAAGATATGTAGGCTATACCGTTGGCACAAAGGTCTCAATTGTTTAGCTGTAATATTTTATCAAACCCTTCTTCTGCGGTTTTTGGGGTAAGTCTTCCTGAAGTGTTAAATGCATTTTTTTTAAATTGCTATGTTATTTAACTACTTCCTTTTTTTTAAATGCACCTTTAGCCTTCACGGGGGCATAGATTTAGGGAACCAAAAGTAAGTGATCAAAGTTTCATCACTGAGGTTAACTGGCTACTTCCTTACATACATATACCTCCTGTTTTGTGTGTGTATATGTGTCCTATTACGCGAGTGTGTCTATACGTGTGCGTGCATGCCCGTCATCGAGCGAGTGACAGAGAGGAAGAAAATGCTGAACTGCTCTCCCGTCTTGCTCAACCAGTTTGTTGGCATACCAAAAAAACAACAACAAAAAACCCCACGCATTAAACCGTAAACGTGCGCCTCATTTCCCGGTGTTGGAACAACTCGAAAGACCACAGCAGGCGTGTCAGCTTGTCAGCGTTCAAAGGTCTTCACACCTACCAGCAAGCAGTACCACGCAGAACTTTCTAACTTGTTTCGTCTGATGCTGCAATATTTCTCCTCTTGTTAATTTTTTTTTCGTTATGTGCAGATAGTTTGTTTCTCTTTTTATTGACTGGTGAATTGAGCTGCTTTTGCTCTCTGCTAGTCTCCAGTGCTTCTCATTTGTCTTATCGTTTCTTTGTGTCTGGTGGTCCTCATGCTTGACTAATGGCCTGTTGCCTTGAGGTTATTTTTATTTGCTCCACCCTTCTCCAACCTGCTTTCGTGTGCAGGAGGTGCCCCTTGCTGACACACTCAGCCACACCTGTCCTGGTTATGTGGAAATGTGGGGTGCCTTTGTTGCCTCTCTCGCCTAAATGGAGTTGATTTATTGAGAGGCAACACAGGCTTCTTTAGTCCTTACTTGTTACAGCCGTATAATGCTCGTCTTGTACTGCACACAGTAGACTTTGTGAACGTGTTGGAGAGAGGGGGAGACAGGATTATTACATCCTTACTTCTTTATTTGTGTGGTCGTACACGGCTATTTACTGCAGTGGACAAATATCTGCCTGCAGCCCTACAAAGTGAGCATTACATAGGTTAGGCTGAAAAAGTGTGCGTATGCTTGTGTCTGTGTGTGTGCGTGCGTGCGCTCCAGGCCCCTCCAGCACTTTCGTGGACTCCTTCGCCCAAGCATTGACTTTGCAGTGAACTCTGAGTATTGACAAGATAAAAGGATGAGAAGGAGGGAAAGAGTGAGCTGTTATTGTATGATCACCCTGCACAGTCTGTCTTTGTTTCCTCCTCCTTCTTTTAAGCATTGTTTTCCCTTGCTGTTCCTTTTTTGATATTCCAGATTTCCCTGATTCCCCTTTTCTTCATAATTCCCCCTAGACATCTCAG